AGGACAGGAAAGGAGGAGGTCCTGCCCAAGTCTTTTTTTTTTTTTTTTTTTTTTTGATTTTCTTGTTTTTTTCTGAGGCTACCTTTATTCACTATCATCACAGCTTTGGTGACCAACAGTGTTAAAAGATATTTCCTGAAGCATTCAAAGTGTTCAGGTAAATACCTGCTACACTGCCGATGATTTGTCCTGCAGGAGGTTTATTTCCCCAAAGATGCTAGCTTAACACTCTCCCCTTTTCTGTTGAATGAATATCTCTATTAACCTGAAGTACCTACAGTTGATTGGTAACATTTCTTCCAATTGGATAGAAGATATTAAGATTCAAGATATTTTTAAGTATATGAACTTTTGATTACTTCCAAAAAAATTGCTTCTGTAGAAAATACACGCATATGCCAGATTTTTTATATTTATGAAGGCAGTTTCCCACTTGCATTTGGATATATATAATACAAACCACCATCACTAAGTATAAACTGACAAGTCAGAATGCAAGCATGGAATGTCCTTTCAATAGCTTCATATAGAGATTGGAATGTATCATGTAGTTGGTCCATATATTATACTCTTGTGTTGTGAAGTATTGGAATATGCTGGAAGCAATTCCTGAATGGCATGTCTCCAAATCAGCAAGCCCTTTGAATGCCCACAGTAAATGTACATGTTCTTGTATTGTTTGGAGCACTTTTTCACAACGGAAGCGCTACCATGATCTACTGCACCAAGGACTGTCAAGGTTTTCAGCAAATGGGGGATTTAGTTGCTAGGATGTGAAGGTCCTAGTGGACAAGTTAACACACCAAGCACACACCAAGGCAGTGGTGTGTGCTTGTGGCCAAGAAGGCCATTGGAATCCTGGCCTGCATTAGAAAGAGCCAGCGTTTAGCTTGGAGAAGAGAAGATTGACAGGGGATCTTATCAATATGTATGAATACCTGAAGGGAGAATGTAAAGATCATAAGGCCAAACTCTTCTCAGTTGTGGCCAGTGGCAGGACAAGGGATAATGGGTACAAATTTAAACATAGGACGTTCCATCTGCATGTGAGGAAGAACTTCTTCACTGTGAGTGTGTGAGCCTGGAACAGGCTGCCCATGGAGGTTGTGGAGTCTCCTTCTCTGGAGATCTTCAAAACCTGCCTGAATGCTACCCTGTGCCACGTGTCCTCTGCTGGAGCAGCGGGATTGGACTAGGTGATCTCTAGAGGTCCCTTCCAACCTCAACTGTTCTGTGATTCTGTGATTCTCGTGGTAAAGAACAACCACTTCCTGGCCTGTGCT